AGTATTGTTCGTCAGATTCTTCAGCAGCATGCCAGCGTTAGCCTATTCGTTTGGATGTAGCTTATCGTAAAAGATCGTAAATTTTCAACTGAAACAATATTTTTCTCTTACATAAATCAACCAGCAATACTTCTTCACGAACCTGCAACCAAGCCAACGGGCTGCATGGCCATCACGGTCAGTGGTCTGAGTTGTTGAAAGCGAGAGCCACGTGGGATCGAAAGTAACGCTGCTAAACCCGGACCGAAATGACAGCACGCATGGACCATCGGCTCCTCTCAGTCTGACTCACTCACTGTAGCGCCAACTGTTGCGTGAGACGTATAGTACCGTGGACGGACGCGCGTGTCATCAGAAGCTGGGCAAGTCCCAGGAAACGAGCGTTTCCGCCTCCTGCCGGCTGCCGCGAGAGGTGGGGGTAGAAGATGAGTCCGGCGGCCGGCGGGCATCGCCATGCCTGAAGAAGGGACAAGTAACATGCGGTAGTAACGAAACCAACATTTGCATCATTCAAATTGAATTCATTTTAATAATTATAATTTAGACACATATTAATTAAGCTAATATAATTATATATATATTATATTTGTATATTATTGTTAGCTATACAAGAGAGATATTTATGTGATATATTTTTATCATAGGAGAGCGAGTTAAAGAATGTGTTATACGTTGCAAAGTAGAAATATAGAATGGTGATCTATAGAATCAATTTTCATCTCTCGCCCTATGAATTTAAAATAAGCTTATATGTGAACTTTAAAAAGTGGTGGAATGTAAAATTTCAAACCAAATAACCTAATTTGTTAAATAGATTTCAATCCTTCCAGATGAAAGGATGTAAACGGTCCCTAGGGAGAAAATTGCACCAGCGACCTGCCGACCTGAACCCTTCTTTTTCTTTAGAGAGAGAGAGGGCGACCTGAACCCTGGCTCCACGCGAAGTGCTCAGCAGAAATTGAACTGTTTTTTTATTTATTTTGAGCAAAGCAGAGATTCAACTGGCGAGGAGGTGGTAATTTGCTTGTTCTCGTGGGCCTCTTTCTTCGGGGTGTCTTGTTTCCGGTCTGGGCTCGAGGCCCTCTTTTAATTTGCGCGGCAGCCTGAAACCAGCCCACATGCTGGACATTAAACCCGCTAAGTTCCAACGGCCCCAAGTTTAGGCACCATTAGCACAGCGATAGCTCTTTTTTTTTCTGATTCTGATGACGTGTGCTCCTGATCACCTATTTTTAGATAAGGGAAACAAGCTCTTCAGTGCCAATATTTTAAATTTACCCCAGCATGTTATGTACCATGAAACCAACTATCAGTAAGATGTGCATATAAATTTCGAAAAAAAAAGAGTAAGATGAGCATATATGGTAAGTACGAGACGAAAGAAGGGCACAACCTTACGTACTAACTTATTCGGTGCAAACACCGAAACACAAAGCATATTCATTTGCACGACGTTTTCTTCTGTGCGGTCGTAGTAGCCCTGGCCCTGGCAGAATCGTATCGTATGGAAGCGAAGCGTAAAGCTTTGCCGAACGGCAACGTGTCGAAGCCCCCGTCTCTGACTCTCTACGACGCCCGCTACGGACGCCCGCGCGCCTCGCCTACAGTGCCGGCACGCATGAATGAAGCTAGCTGCTAGCTAGCGCAGTGGCGCCTACCGCGTAGCCCGCTAGCAGGGATCCAGCCCCGAGCCCCGGCCGCGGAGACGGAGGCGGAGACGGATCCTCCGTCCCGTCGCCGCGATCGGAATATGTCCGCCGGATCGGCACCATCCAGAGCGCGCCGATCCGGTGTCCGCCCGTGCGCGTGGCCTGCCGCCCCACCCCGGCCCACGTCTCAGAGAGCTCTAGCAAGGCTAGCAGTACTAGTAGAAGTACGTCGTACTCGTACCCCGGCCGGAATCCCACCCGTGTTTTGCCGGACGGTCAAAGCAAACGTACACGCGCACGCGGGCGGGGCCGGGAGGAAGCGAGCGAGCGAGGCGGCCACGCGCGCGACGGAATCGCCGGTCGCGCCGTGTACCACCAAAGCGGGGACACCCATAGCGCGGCGCGGATCGAGCTGCCGCGCTGGGCCGCCACTTTCGCTGTTGGCGTTGGGCTTGCGCCGCCGCCGCAAGCACGCAGCAGGAGGCATTTGGCCGGCGCTACTTGCGGCCCGCGGGACCGTGCACGCTAGGACGCTAGGACGCGCGCTGGGATTTGGCCTAGCGAGGCATCCTCCGATCCCCTGCAGTCCTGGCTCCTGCAGGCCTAGCTAGCTACCACCACACCACACGTCCACACGACACCACGGTACGGGGGATCGACAGATTCTGCAGCCTGCAGCAGCGCAGGGGGGTGGTGTGGTGCCCTAAACGCTAAACCGTACGTGGCCCCTTTGGCCTTTGGGGCTTCCTTTCTCCGAGACTGATGGATGATGGGCATCCGGTTCCTCCAGCTCTTGTGCCTCACGCTTCATTCCCCCCGGCTGGCTCTCGTCTCGACCTCCGACCGCGCCTTTGTTCTCGCGCGCGGTACGGTGCCGGTGCCGGAGGGCCCCCGCCCTGTCCCGGCCTCTCGCCCCCAGGTACTTCAGTCGTACGAGCCTTTGCATCTGCTGTCTCTGTGCGCATGATTGCTTTCTTTTTTCAGCTATACCCGGCGGTCGTTTCCAACTTTCAATATGGTAATTTCGGCAACCACGCCACCACATTGACATTGTTCTCCAATTTCTTCATTCACTGATCATTCCCCTCTCTGGACGGAAGAAGAAAAAAAGTTTAAAGTGCTGCGGTTATGTATGGGAACGTGTCGACACAGTAGCAGTGTTACTCTGCCTTTTGCTTAACACAGCAATGGTTCGTTCGATCAAGGGACTGTCCCCAAATGCTCGCTCTCGCAGCATCTAGCTAGCATGCACTGTGCGCCACACGTTTCGACCAGCGGTGGCAGGACGGGGTACGGTGCTGCGGTGCAGAGCGCACGCACGGCACAGGAGTTACCGTGAACGACGGAGTTTGGTCCGACCGAACCACCTGGTGGAGAGGGAGGACCGGGCCGGGTTTCGCTCGAACAAGACCACTGTTGAAATCGGCGGTCTCGTCGGAAGATCGGAATCTGTCACGCAAAAGTTCGGGTGCCGATCGATATGTTGGGATCCGGCCGCTTCCTTCTCTACCTCCGCATCAGTGATCTATATATCTTCAAGGCAACAATCTGCAGAAGAAATAAAGGGCTAGTACCTATATATATGCCTAGCTAGCTAAAGGCTCATATATGGAGTAGCAGCATGTTACCGTCGTACGATCCTCTTGCTATCTAGCAGCTGCTGCCCTTTACGGCTTCAAGTGGAGCAGTATCATATCGGCCGCTGGCGGCTCATCCTTGAGGATGAAGATATATGTGTCGAGGCAGACACGGGAGGGAGAGAGAGAGAGAGAGAGAGAGATGGATGGATAGACGGATAGCTGCTAGGCACGCTAGCTGACAGACATGAGATGACCCAAAGCTGATCGACCACCCGACCAGATTCCAATCCCGTTGTCGACTTCGTCACCGAGGTTGTCTTTGTCTTCCCACCACCAGTAGGTAATCACGACAGTAATCGATCAGCTGCACTAATCCAACAGTCATTGATATCTAGCTACTTACGTGGTCACCCATGCATATGTACTCTATGGAGTAAACGCCCAAAACTCCTTCATTCTCTTCCTGTCCAGCGGTTTGCTTTAACCAAGCTTTGCATCAGGTTATTATTTGTCGGTTCATCACACCAGACGGCCGACATCACCCAAAGATAGCAAATAAAGGATGCCCATGCAGTTGCTATGCACTGCCCTTCTCCCTCCCCTATAAGTATCGAGCTCCTGCATTCGCCATGGTTAGGACAGCCTAGGGGATCGACTTCACTTTGACCTTTCTTCCTCGCTCCCCTCTCTCGCTTGCCCAGATAGCTTCGACGACACCATCCCTCTCCTCCATTCATCGATCGGTTCATAGATATGGTGTACTGATATCAGATATCTCCCTCCCATACTGTGTAACCAACACCGGCACCGTGCATATATAGCGGCAACTTCCCACGCTGCTCAACACCGGCGTGTATATATAGCGGCAACTTCCCACAGGCTGCTCATACAAATAATGATGATGCTGTTCGAGGAGGATGCAGCCGGCATGGGCATCCCAGATGGCTTCTGCATTGTAAGTGTCTCTCAGCCTTGATATCAATGTCTGCCTGTCTAACCATTTCCGTTCTTTATTTATTTTGGTATATATACCTCTTTGATTTATTTTGTACGTATACACACACCATTTTCATTGTGTTAGTCTTGTTTGCTGCATGTCTACCTGAATTATTTGTGAGCTCATAGCAGAGTGTGCTGCTCATATGCCTCGTAGTCAAGATATATATAGACACTGAATGATGCACCGCTTCCTCGTATCATGCTTATAATATATTTTCAGCTTGTCAAGATCTTTTTCATTAGCAAGGCTAAGGCATGATATTCTCAGCAAAATTACTAAGTTGGCATCATATAATATATTTCGGATCTGTCTAGGTCACATTTAGTTGTTTTGGCCTCTCCTATCAACTGAACTTTTCCTATGCACTTATACTAGCTTATAGTTATATTTACACTATCTTATTACTATATTTACAATGATATATTCAGTGTAATTTAATGGACACAGTGGTGTAATTTGGGGATAACACAAATATATGCCAATTTTTTTAGAAAAAATTACAAACTATTTTTATGGATTGCAGATATTAGTGAAATATATGTCAAATTGTTCACAAATTTCAAAACAAATTACAAATTATTTACATATTCCAGTGGGACCCACCCTTCCCTTCCGTCTTCCGTGAGTGAACGAACCAGGCAACATACGCCGCGCTTGCCCACGTCGTCGCCGGCCGCCGATGAGAAACCTCGACGTCGCCGCGCTCGCGCCTGCCATGGCCGCGTGCTTCGAGGCCGGCCGCGCCTGCTGCCTCGCCGGGCCTCGCTGGCCATGCCGCCTCGCCTGCTCGTCGGCCGCGCCCCCCTGCAGGCCGCGCGTGCCCGCCATGGCCGTCCACGCCAGGTCAGACGGCCCCAAAATCGGTTGTTGGGAGAAGCCAAATCAACCGGTTGAGGTTTAGTAATTCTGTATATTTCATATATTCATCAAAACACAATGCTCGGTACTGTAAAATGACTAAAAGGAGATTGCCATGTTGCAAATAAAGCCAAGGGAAATATATATATGTTTCATATCGGCTAAAACCACTCCGTCAATGAGGTCGCATGATGTTCGAGGAGTGACCGAATTCATTGAGACTTCTTTCCAGGAATAAGCAGTCTGCGCAAAAATAGCATCCTTGCATTAGACCATGCACCAGCATTTATAGGATATCCAATTTATGTTCGCCGACTTCTTGGTTCTGTCTTTGGTTCTATCCCGTATCTCTCCCGACCGCAATCGTAGCAGAGAAACTTCAGGGTCCTGACTTCCTTGGTGATGTCATCTTGGAAAAAAGTCATGTGCATCTGCATGGCCAAACAGGCTTATTTTCGGTCCCCTCTCTTTCGTTATAGCCTATCTTGCTCGCGCATGCCCGTTCTCCCAATATAGCCACAAGTAGAGCCATTTCTCTTCTCAAGGATCAATGTAACATACTGGAGAAAGTTTACCCGAAAAGCTGCGCTGCGCACCATTTTGATCATCTTCATGCATTGAAGATCGTTGGTGCCCGCCATGCTTCCCGATGATTGCATCACTGTAATTGCTTCTCTGATCTAACACATTTTTTTGCTCGGTTCTTCTTCCTAGGTTTGCGCGCGATGATGTTCTGAAACCCAACCAAGCAATTTCATTTCCTTATTGAGATCTTTTGCTGCCGTATTTCTTACATCCTGTCTATGCATCAATGCATGCTCATGGGGCTGTAAGTAAAATGACAAGAAGTCGTTTCCTAGACAACTGGTACTTGCCTGCGCATGTAATTCAATAGTTACTAGATATCTGTCAAAGCCAAAGCACAACAGCTTTGAGATAAGCATAACATTAACATCATGGCTTCTTTCAGATTTGGGTCTTCGGCACTTTCCAGAGAATAAAAGATGTTTTCCTTTTCTTTTTCTGCCGTCTATGTCTTTATAATTTTATTCCGGATCACATAGATGATCTTATTTTGAGAAGTTCGCTTCAATGAAGACAGCATGTAGTATAATTTCATTCCGAATCACATAGATGATCTAATTTTGAGAAGTTCGCTTCAATGAAGACAGTACGTAGAATTAAAATCACACGTTGTTGGATATCTAAAGCTTTTGATCCTCTCACAAATTGCATAGAAGTAACTGCACTGAAAAAAAAAGCTGTTCTTTGCAACAAAAGGTAGTGATGCATCTAATATTCATTACTCTCACAACGAGTTTGCAAAGTGCGGTTATTTCACTTCCTATAAGATGCAATTCAGTCGACCCACAAAGTTATTGATTTGCCTTCAAAATTTATGACCTGCATTTTTTGTGATTTGATTATTAGAATAACACTCATTTAACAAAAAAAAAATGACTCACATATTTTGTCCCACTCTGAAATTTACAGGAGGAAATTTCAAGCCCCATAGCTGCTCATATTCTTGATTTCTATGATGGTGGCCTTGGTAATGACCTCTTTGCTGCGGCGACTACCACCTCCGGTCCATTTCCTGCCACTGACGATGACGTTTCTTCGTCTACCACTACCACCCCTCCTATCTGCAGCTACAGTGACGACGCTCCAGCTGCTGGTGCCACAGCCTACTCCCCATTGCCATCCTTCGACACCACTCTCACGGCCCTCCTTGAGGAAGAGCAACACCATGGCCTTGACACGGAGCTCCTTCCGCAGATCGATGGCCTTTCAGAAGTAGCATACTATCCAACTGCCACCGATGAGGCCAGCATAGGGCAATTCAACCAGATGGGACTTCCAGAGACCTTAGCTGAACAGGTGCCTCCATTGCAAATGAGCACCAGTGCATCTGCCTTGATGCCACTGACTTCAGACTATGATGAGTGCTACACAGCAGCGTTAGCTGGAGGGTTCATGGGTCTGGAAGGAACCATGTATCAGCAAACTGGAGCAATTCTTCCAGGCTGCAAGGCAGAAGCATCACAACAGGGATTCTTCAATAGTGCCAGCAGCAATAGTATGGTGATGATTGGCGAGTATCAGAAGATGATTGAAGGTGAAGGACTGACCACAGCATACAACGACACAGATTCCATGCAAGGGACATTTAATACTAATGCAGAGATGCAGGTAATATTCAGAACCTATGTACACCACAATGATGCCAAATAAAAGCACAGGTCAAGTAACTATTATATTAACTAAACAGGTAGGAGGAAATAATCAGCACCTCATAAACGGATGCAATGGGAACCCAGCAACGTTACCTCCAACAGAACTATCAGGATTGGAAGACTCCACATTCAAGGTTGTCCGCTTGTCACCTGAAGAGAGAAAGGAAAAGATCCATAGGTATATAAAGAAACGGAACGAGAGAAATTTCAGCAAAAAAATAAAGGTACCATTGAGCATTTCAATAGAGAAATACTTGTGCATACCAATTAAGCTGTGCTGACACACAACAAAATGCAGTACGCTTGTAGAAAAACCTTGGCAGATAGCAGGCCCCGTGTCCGTGGAAGGTTTGCAAAGAATGATGAACTCTGTGAAGCAGCACAATCAGGCTCCCAGAGTCATGAACATTATGAACAAACTGTAAGTTTTCAATTATGCCACAGTCTTGTCAAACAGTCTAGTATAACTAGAAGAAATGGCTACAGTAAATGTTAAGGGTAAATGTAACTTGATGCACCACAGAGACAAATCGAGAAATACATAAACCATTTGTTTCAACTTTCTATGTATCCATTCTAACAAATATTAAGCTAGGATATGTACTAGACACCCATGTACACTAGTTACTGAGCACAAGATTGTAGTGGATGAGGACATGAGGCCATGATTTTAAGTCCCTGTCCCATTAAAATTAAGAGACGAAACATGATTCTTCTTATGTATTCTCATTGTTTTTAAACGAAAACCTGGCACATTTCTATGCATAGTTAACAAGAACTCTTACCTTTTTCAGGACCATATGAAAGAAGAAGACATGCTGGACACATCTGACATTCTTGCGCAACTGAGTGGATTAAATTCCTACAACTACAAGTATAAATGCACCATTGAATCATGGATATGATTCTCAAGTCTCGACCACACAAACTAAGACCCAGTGTCTTATTTCAAGCTGTGCAACATCGAGCACAGTTTTTTTTTTCATTTCCATTAAAATAAACCTACAGCATTAGAAGCACAATTGCAGGTCAAGAACCTAGTTCAATTAAGGTAGATTTAATGTATGTGTCAATCTGCTGTCACTTTTTTACCATTGTCATAAGTGAATGTGGTAGTTAGTCTCCAGAACAGTGATTTGTGTATATAACTATGCCATTTATAGAGGGAAATAAAAGTTCCGAGGATCTCTTAAATATTTCTTTGTTGCAGAGTCCAGGTTTGGTCTGCTCAGAGAATTCCCTACATCAGAGTAATCAAAATAACATGGTAACAGAGCATAGTGATAAGTAAACTTAATATATTGGAGTGTCACATAGCTGCCTTTTAGCCTGCGCCCCCATTTGCAGAAGGATCAAGAGTTGGAACCAACAACGAACAATATGAATAAGCATAGCAAAAATGTTTAGCACTATACTCATGAGTTTAGTAAGGTTCATGATCTTGCTGATAATTCGTAGGCCCATGCAATTGTAGAAATCCAATTCTGTTGATTTTCTGTTTTAGTGGAGTTATCCAAGAACAAGCTACAGACCTATAGAGTAGTGTATCCACAGTTGCGTTAGGGCAAAGATGAAAATCTTAATCAACTAAAATGTTTTTTCTCTGAAGTATAAGCACTATCTGTGTCATTTAATAAGTAACCAAAGTGAAAGACATACCACACCCGCAAGTAGGCAATGTGAAGCTCTAGTAGTACTACCACATTACAAATCTCCATTTCAGCTAAGCTATAATGAGTGGTCAAATTCACACAAACAATGGTCGCTCAAACCAACATTCTACAGAATTGGAACTCCGACTGGGACTGAATGGCAATGTAGAAAACAACAGTCAGAATTTACTCTGTCAAACATGATATTATCGATAAAGTCAATGCAGTTGGATCCTTAAATTGCTGTATAGTTACTTCACCGACACTTTGTGACATTCAAGAATATGGCACGCACTGGATCAAAAACCACCTCTACATATGTATAGAAGCAAATGTGCAAAGAGTTACTATGTGCTAAGCCTAACTCATACTCATTAATGTTGTCACCTGGGGCACTGGCACAGCAAGAGAGAGCAATTCTGAGGCCCCTCGCTCCTCCAATTCGCACCCCTCAGCATCCATGTCAACCAGAACAGGATCGAATAGTACAACTTGGGGTTCAGATTTGCTACACCCAAGCAGGACTAAGCTACTGGGTCTGGTGAAGCCGAGGAACCTGACGCAGCGAGCGCGTCCGTAACCCCAGAATCGGCCCCCGACCCAGACAGCGACCTCAGAGACGATGACGGCGACCTTGACGACCACCCCGAGCGCGTCGACCCCGTTCCTGAACCCCTTGTGCACCTGGAGGCCGAGGAAGCCCTCGACGATCTTAGACGTGTTCTTGGAGAGCTTGTAGCTGGAGTTGAGGACGGCGAGCACGGCCACGCCCGCGGGCGACGCGGCGTGGAGGGAGGCCGGCGCGGCGGCAGCGAGGCGGAGGAGCGAGGCGGCGGCGAAGGCGGCCTTGAGGTGCTTGGAATCAGGGAGCTTGGGGAGGCGCGCGGCGGGGCCGAGCGTGCGCGCGGCCTTGTACGACTTGGATGCGGCCTTGGACGCAGCGAGGATGGCGGCGACCGGGGAGGAGGCGGTGGCGAGCGCCCGCGGCGTCCGGAGCGCGGCGGCGGCGGCGGACGTGGCGGCCGCCAGCGGCTTGAGCGCGCGGGAGCGGGAGAGGGCGACGAGCAGGCGCACCCCGAGCGCTACGCCGAGCGCGGAGGTGGCCGCCGCCGCCGCGAGCTCGTGCTCGGCCAGAGGCATGCTGCCGGCGGCTCGCGTGGGGAGGCGCAGGCCATAGGAGGCGGCGAGGCGGGTGCGGGTGGGCATGGAAAGGGTAGAGAGCCCGCCGGGGGTGGGAAAAAGGGAAAGGTCACGGGACGAAGGGGTTGAACATTGGATTTGGATGACAAGGCGTGACGTGGATGCGGCCGCGGCGGGGGGGAGAGAGAATTCGTGGCAGATATGCCGGACGCGGGGGCGCACCGTGGCTGATCGATCCCCCGGTGCGCCGCGGCATATGCCGTGTGAGCGTGTGGTTTGGCACGGCGCGGCGGCGCGGGGAGGCCACAGGACGACCGAGCCGAACTCGGCAGAATTGCAGGCCGCAGCCCATCGAAAATTCTCCGGGAAAGCAGCGCCGTCGGGGTTGGTCCACGCCGTCCCTCCACTCTACTGGACGACGTTGGTGGACCGGCGGCTGCAGGCCTACTCGCTCCGGAAGCGTCGAGACGTGCATGGTCCCAGGCCCGCGTGTTTGTCGTGTTCCCGTGGGCTTCATTTCTTGCCGTGGTGCTGTTGGGCTCCTCAGCCAGAATTCTTCTTTGGGCTCTCCACTCCGAATTTCGCCTGGTAGAACCAATTCACGCAAGGACAAGAACCACAAACGATCTGCTCACTCTTGTTCCGGAAAACAGACAGATGGTGAACTCGGTTGCGTAGAGCGGCCGGGCAAGCGACCCTCCCGGAAAGGTCGTCGGATACAACATTTCTTTCCGATACCTAACGCTCACACGCTAGTACGCTACGTACTTGGTACACAACGCTGAAGTACTAGTACTCTGTATTCAACTACAGGTCAGTGGCGGCACGCCGTACTTGCACAAATGAACAGCTTTCCTTTCTAGAGCAGTGCAGGGCCAGACATGTACGTCAGCGACGAATTAACGCTCGCTTTGGCTTGGTCTTCGGCGTCCTGTGCTTTTGTACGTGACACAGATGATTGCGTTGCGTTGCGTAGTATGCTGAGCTGATCCATATGCTAGTACTGTCAGTTGGCTCTGGTTAATATATATATACTCCGTATGCTATCTTATTATCACTTGCACTTGAGCTGCGGCACGCAAGCGGTCAACAGACACGTAACAAGTCACTTCTCCCGGCGCACTTGTCTTTGACCAGCTTGCAAGCAACCCCTTCTTCTTTCCTTCAGTTTCTTTATACATTATCATCTCTGCAGGATTGCAGCTGGAGACTGCAAGAGAACCATGCATGGGTAGTGCAGTGTGCAGTATCTTATCGCAAGTTCGTCTTGCCGTTTCCCAAGGAGAATGGAGAATGATCAGGACGGCAATGGAGAACAAAACACTAAACGCTGACGGCGACGGTGGACGCCCAAGAGCTTTCCCGTCTCTGTTGTTTGGTTGGCGCCATTCCGTTCGTTTGACCGGAAAAATGACACTGCTAGCTGCGGATCACCAGGCAGCAGGCATAACGCTGCAAGCAAGTCAGGCACACCCGCCGTGATGCAACGATTTTGTCGGCGAAATCATGGCTCTCGTGTCGTGTCGTGGTCACGTACGTACTCACGTCTCGCTTGGATTTGGTTGCTTACCAAAGTTTGAAATCGTACGCTTATATGTATATAATATACTGTTTATTTATGTATGCTTCCAACGGCTGTGACGAAAACGAAAGGAGAGGAGAGGGGAAATGCGAGAAGGAAATGCCACGAGCCATGACTTAGGACATGTGGATCATTAGGACTTTACCTAACACAAGGCCAGGCGATGTGATGCCATTGCCATAGAGTACCGAGAATCTGGTCTCTACTGTGCAGATTAGGCCACCTGCACCTGCTGAACCTGAAGGCTATTCACATGCACAGCTGCTAGCTAGAAGCCTTGAACTGGTAGGATCCTTCTGTATTTTTTTATGAGTGGAGCACCAAAATTATATATAGCTTAGATTTTAGTATCTACTGACCTCATCCCTCGGTTGCTAAAAATTAGTACCTCCATAACTGGTGATACTTTTTAATTGGCAGTGTAAAAAAACAATTCCTTAATACATCGAGTTATTAATATGCTGAAAATTACATCCAGTAAAACTAGCAAGACCTCTTTAACTAGAATGTAGAACACTGCCGTATTTGTAGGTTCATCGATCCTTCGTCGGCACGGCGGAAATGCAAGTCACCGTCACCCGTCGCTTTGATCCCTCCACTTGAGGATCGTGATCCGTGGAGATGGATCTTCCACTTACCCCAGCCGTTCCTCGACAACAAGAACAACAACAGAGAGATGGTGGTGGTGGTGGTGGCTGTCAAAACCGGAGATCTTTGTAGCCAAATCGGAGCCGGCTTACTAAGTATTGCCGGTCCCTGTCTTTACGACGACGACGACGCACTATCTACTGCCTCGTAGTTGTACGAGACGTTGCCCGGACAACCCCCGTCGACATTGCTGGACGCCACATTCTGCAGTGACTGCGCCCTGCATGCCGGAGCGTATCTATCTACTCGAAGCTTTGAACAATCCATTCTTAGCCTCTGCACAACAGAGGCAGATTGCATGTACTCCTAATTTCAGGAACGTGCTTGCCTGGCCGCGCCTTCCAGACGAGGCTGCGAACCAAACATCCTCTAACGTGATTGTGCGTTATCACATATTCACATAGGATCAGTGGAAGCTGGGCCTGTCGTTTTCAGAATTAAATAACCATATCCAAAGATTACCACCTTCCATTCTTCCAAAACCATTTTCGCACAGCGCACAGCGCATTCATTCGAAAAGGCAAGAACAAATTCAGAGAAAGAAGTCGAGGTCTTGCTAGTACTACTGCACTGCACGTACCACTTGCAGCAACAGTCTTTTTGAAAATTCTTGCAGCAACAGTCTGAAGCACCCTCGCCCGGAGTGGTCCAGTGATCCTCTGAAGATTTCAAACCTCTCTTCAGGTCTACCAGGACGTGCACGCCTCGTTCATCAGTTTCACCGAAGACCTCGCTCCATTCGGCCCCGGAACGCACGCCTGCAGGGGACGAGACGGCGTATCCCTGGAGGCAGATCGACGACGCACACGCCCCGGGTGGCTGGGTCAAGCCGCTCTGGATCCTCCTCCACTCCACGGGCGGTGTCATCTTCCGACCGCGCGTGCAGGGGCAGCGGCAGGACCTGGGCGGGCTGCTGGTTGGGCAACAGCTGCGCAGCGCAGCCGGTCCCCGGAAGTGGCCGTTAGTGGTGGGCGCCTCGAGGCCGGCCGGGCCGACGAATAGACCGGGCCTGGATGGCTAGACGTACACGTCGCCCCTCTTTTATCGCCATCCAAGCCTACATTTCCTGCATGGTCGCATGGGCTTATCGGAGCTGAAACTGGACACTCCACTGCTGCTGTGGCCGCTCGTGACGCCACACCACACCAGCGGACCAGCCCTCCCCGTCTCCTCTTCTTGTCTTGTCCGCTGGCCCGCCCGAGCACTACGGCGAGGGAGCGCCCAAGTCCAAGCCGCAACGTTCGGCCACGAGCACGATGCAGCAGCGCCCGCCCGTGGTCAGCCTCGGCCGCCCCAGTGGGAGTGGGGAACGGGGAATAAGTTCCGGCACCGCAACCGGCCCGGCAACCGCGAACCTTTCTTTCTTTATTACAGCTTCCGCTGCAGAATTCGGAGCCTAGAAGCACGCAATCACGCGTGCCAAGAACTGAACCCCCAAAGAAATCAGCTCTAGGGCCTGATTTTTTAGCGCCGTCCCCCCAACAAAGCCCCCACTTCTCTGCGGCCGCCGCTGCAGTCCATCGGTTTGTTCCGTTTAGTCTCCCCCTTTCACTTCACATGGCCTGCCGCGTCCCTCCCACGCCAATCTCGCATTCTCGCCCATCATCAGGTCGCTCGCTTCCGTTCCTTAGCTGATTTCAGGGCTCTCCTGCCGCACGCAGCTCGCTTCCTTCCGCGGTTCAGGCTTCAGTTAGCTGACGCCTCCGCTTCTTTCCTTCCCCTTGGCCATTAAACTCGAGCAAACAACAACGTTGCCTTTCTCGGCCGGCCATTAATGGCGACGAGGAGTTACGCCTCGCTCTGAACAGGGCCCTGTTTCTTTGGCTTGCATGCGTAGGCACAGGCAGCCGGGCATGGAAGGGAACTGTAGCGCCCACGCGTTACCGAGTCCACCCCCCGCCTTCAAAGCCATACAAGCCGTCGTGTGTTGATGGAAAGGGTCGAGTGTGAGGAGGAGCAGGAGTAAAGGCAGCAGCTTTTTCCCCTTGACGCCTCCCCTTGTTTTGCCTGCCCTCTCCTCTCCCGTTCTGGAACAAGTCAAGCCGGAAGCCGCCCCCGCGCCTCCTCTCGTCTGCCTGCTTACGTTCTTCATCAGTCCTTGGTCTTCTTCCTCTCTTCCCTTTCTTTGCCCGTCCGCCTCTCCACCTCCCTGCTGGTTTTGGTTGGGGGCTGTTGTTAGCGCACAAAAGCCGAGCGCTTTGTCTCATCCGCTGCCGTTCTAGTAAGCGGCAGCCTTGCGCCTCGGCTTGATGCTCCTCCGGCCTCTCGGTCGTTCTCCTTCCCGTTGACAGCGGCTTGGTTTAGGCTCTTCACCTAACCTTGTTTCTAGTTTCGGTTGGTTGGTGAGTCACTGGCTACCTCTTGCTGGTTGGCTCAGTTCTTCTTGGTCTTGGACCTGGAGTATATAATCTCCCGGCCGCCGTCTTCTGTTCTTCAGCTCTTCGCATTGGTGGCTCGTCCCCCCTGCTGCTCCTTCCAAGACGAGACGAACTGCTCGAGATCAAGGACGAGAGGAGAGCTCGTCTGTCGTCTGTGCTGGGAGGTTGGGAGGCCGTGCTTTGCTTCAAGCGAGATCTTGGATGCTGTTGCGTGCTAATCTCTGTGCCTGAGGTGAGGAATCTGATGCTTCCTCCACTTCTCTTGTCCTGCTTTTGTTTGGCCAAAATGATGTATCTTTAGCTTGTCTTTTCAGCTTAAGTTACTGTTGTTGTAGATTAAGAGTGTTTATTAATTCTTAGTTTACTTCTTGCTCTGACAAAGGAAAGGAAAGATGGATGCGACTTTCTTGTTGTTGTTTTCTCTCTTGGTGCTGTAGTAACCCATAAGTACATAGGCT